TGGTTCTGGCATGGCTTTCTCAAAAATGAGTGCTAATCAGGACTTGGTAGCATGATAGTGGGATTAGGCTCCTCCTGCATTGTGCTGCTGAGGGTGTGAGAGGATGTTACAGAGAATCAGAACAGGACCCACGTGTTAGAGAAAGTTGCTAATTCTCTATTCTTCTCTCTTCTTTGGCTGTCAGCGGAATGGTTAACAGCTTTTCCACACCTCAGTTCCTCCGTTTCTGTTGTCCTTTGCCTAAATTTTTTGTGTATATGGAAGTGTCCAGTTGCTCCGTGTGTCAGAGCTGAACTTTCATTCTGAGGGGCTTTGTCCTCTGCTCCATGGAGGGTTTTCTATTAATATGAATCCAGCTGAAATAGCAGTGCTGGAATAGTTAGGAAACATTCCTCACCGTTGTTTTGATATAAATACTCCAAAACCAGTTTGTTCATATAGGTTAGTGAAGGACAAAGTGAATAATTGCAGAAATGGCTTCTGCATTGATTATCTCAGGTTTTTCTGATTAAAGGTGGAATTAAATTTGCTTTTGTTGAAATAAAGATAAAAGTTAAATATAAGTTTGGATGTGCCATAGAAATGTTTTGGACCAGACTGAATGTACGTACTTCATATAAAAATCAGATTTTATATCTGCAGTACAGCTCTGTACAAACAGAGAAGTCATTAAAGCAAATTCTTACTGTTTCAGATGTCAGAATATTTGCAGAGACTTTAATGTTAGCTTAAATTTGTGTTTTGATCATAGGGAAAATGCCTTATAAGATGATGGGCATGATGATGTCTCAGGTGCAACAAGGTATAAGATGTTGCTGGGAGCCCTTTATATGCCTTATTCTATTTGTGTTTATCCCCTAGCAGATACAAAGCTAAACTACAGATATGGACATAGGAGACAGTTTTACAAATACGGGGAGCCTATATTTGTCGTGTTAACTGCATTTAATAAATGACCCTTAAAAATAAAAGGATTAACTTGAATCTGTCAATTCAGAAGAGTAAAACAATGTGCCAAGTTTTGAGTTTGAGATGTTGGTTAGTGTAAACCTATGGAAAACACACTAAATGTGCTCTGAGAAGACCATTTGTCTCACCATTGGTTAAAACTTATACTAAAAAATGAATTTTATGGCTACTTCAGAAATTTGGCTAAACACAAAAGGAGAGTAATGTGGGATAATGAAGGCAATACCAATTCCTATGGAAGTGTGAAATACTTGAAATACTTAGGCTCACAGGTGAAGATGTTATGGCAATTGCCTGTTGCTTCCTTTTCTTCCCTGTCAGTGTTTGGAGTTGATCTCTGCAGTTCTCCCAGCTTGATTTCATCATTTAACTCCTCTGAACAAGGGTTCAGAGTTGGTTTCAGTCACCTCTGAGCAGTGGCGTTGTTTGTCAGTGTATACTGTTGACCTTCTGCCTGTCCACTTATTAACGTGCAGATATCTGGAATGCATCAGCTACATGTGGCAGACCTTCCACAGCCTCTAGTTGCTTCCTGTGCTCCTGAGAATGGTCAAAATCATACCTAAATCTTTTGGGACAGCTGCTGCCTTTCCAGGTATCTAGATCCTCCTAGTGTCTACACATCTGCATCACCAGCCAATACAAACCAGCTTCATGACTTAAGAGGTATGTCTGCTGGGATCAGCCACACATCCCTTCTGATTAATGATTAGTTATGAGGAGAGAGGCAACAAAACTCAGCTTTTGTTTTCTGTTTCCTTTAGCTAATAATGTTCAAATATTTGAGGCAAGGGAACCTGGAGCAGAACATCTCTGGCAGTACAACTGCACGCTCCATGGGGCTAGTGGGCACCCATCAGCAGTGTTCTGGCCAAAGGCTAATGGCTCCTACTTCCCATTCCCTGCCTCACCAGCTTTTTCTGGTGGTGTAACTAGAAGCTTGTGTGGAGATGGTGAGGAAGAGTCCAGACCTTGGAAGGAGAGGAGGAGGACTACAATTGGAATGCTTTATGGAAATGGCATGACGACACAGTGTGTGTTTATTACAGGCCACCTGATCAGGAATGGGGAGGCCTTTTACAGTCAGCTGAAAGTAGCCTGGCAATCACAGGCCTTGGTTCTCATGGCAGACTTCAATATCCCTGTTATCTGCTAGGAAGGCTACACAGCCAGGCACGTACAGTCCAGGAGGTTCCTCCAGGGTACTGATAATTTCTTGACTCAGTGGAGGAGCCAACAAGGAGATGTATACTGCTGGACCTAGTACTGACAAACAAAGAGGGACTGGTGGAAGATACTAAGGTTGGGGCCTTGGCTGCAGTGATCATGAAGAGATAGAGTTCAGGTAGTATGTGCAAAACAACAAGTAGCATCGCAGCCTTGGACTTTAGGGTGGCTAACTTCAACCTCTTCAAGAAACTGCTTGGAGAAATCCCATGGGTTAGGGCTCTGGAAGGGAGGGGGGCACAAGAGAGCTGGTTGATATTCAAATACCACTTTCTAAGCAGGAGACCTGCATGGTTGAGCATTTTTCTGAAAAAAATCAAGTGGAAGAAGGAAGTTGACAGTACGTGGAGAAAGGGACTGACCACTTGGGAAGATTATGAGAATGCTCTTAGAGTATGCAGGGATTAAACAAGGAAAGCCAAGGCCTCCTTGGAATTAAACCTGGCAAGGGATGTCAAGGTCAACAGGAAGGGTTTCTTCAAGTATATCAGAGGAAAAAGGAAAACTAGGGAAAATGTGGACTCACTGTTGAATGAGGTGAGTGCCATGGTGACAGAGGATGAGAGAAGGCGGAGTTGCTCAATGCCTTCTTTGCTTCAGTTTTTACTGCTCAGTGCAGCCCTCAGAAGTCCCAGACTTTGGAGGAAACAGAGAAAGTCTGGATGAAGGAAGACCTCCCCTTGGTTGAGGAGGATCAAGTTAGAGATCAATTAAGTAAACTGGATATCCACAAGTCCGTGGGTCCTGATGGGATGCATCTGCAAGTGCTGAGGGAGTTGACAGAAGTCATTGCAGGGCTGCTCTCCACCATCTTTGAAAGGTCCGGAGAACAGGCGAGGTGCCCGAGGACTGGAGGAAAGCCAGTGTCATCCCAGTCTTCAAAAAGGGCAAGAAGGAAGACCCAGGAAACTACAAGCCAGTCAGCCCCACATCCATCCCTGGAAAGATGATGGAACAGTTCATTCTGGGCATTATTTCAAAGCGTGTGGAGATAAAGAAAGCTATCACAAGTAGTCAACATGGGTTCACCAAGAAGAAATCCCGTTTTACTGATATGATAGCCTCCTATGATGGCATGACTGGACGGATAGATGAGGGAAGGTCAGTGGATGCTGTCTACCTTGACTTTAGCAAGGTTTACAACACTGTCTCGCAGAGCATCCTCATAGGTGAACTTTGGAAGCGTGGGTTAGATGACTGGACAGTGAGGTGGATTGAGAACTGGCTGAAAGATAGAGCTCAGAGGGTCGTGATTATTGGCACGGAGTCTGGTTGGAGTTCTGTAACATGTAGTTAGTATGTGGGATTGAGAACTGGCTGAAAGATAGAGCTTAGAGGGTCGTGATTATTGGCACAGGGTCCAGTTAGAGTTCTGTAACACATAGTTAGTATGTGGGGTCAGTACTGGGTCCAGTCCTCTTCAATATATTCATCAATGACCTGGATGAGAGGACAGAGTGGACTCTCAGCAAGTTTCCTGACGATACAAAGCTGGGAGGGGTGGCTGACACACCAGAAAGCTGTGCTGCCACCCAGAGAGACCTGGGCAGAGAGGAACCTGATGAAGTTCAACTAGGCTAAGTGTAGGGTCCTGCAACTCAGGAGGAATAACCCCCTGCACCAGGACAGGTTGGGACTGACCTGCTGGAGAGCAGCTCTGTGAAAAAAGACCTGGGAGTCCTGGTAGACAACAGGATGCCCAAAAGCCAGCAATGTGCCCTTGTGGCCAAGAAGGCCAATGGCATCCTATGGCGCATTAAGAAGAGCATGGCCAGCAGGTCAAGGGAGGTCGTCCTTCCCCTGTACTCTGTCCTGGTGAGGCCCCATCTGGAGCACTGTGTCCAGTTTGGGGCTCCCCAGTTCAAGAAGGGCAGAGAACTGCTAGACAGCGTACAGTAGAGGGCTACAAAGATGATGAGGGGCCTATAACATCTCTCTTACAAGGAAAGACTGAGGGACTTGGGTCCTTTTTGGTTGGGAGAAGACTGAGGGGGGAATCTGATCAATGCCTATAAATACTGAAAGGGTGGGTGTCAAGAGGATGGGGCCAGTCTTTTATCAGTGGTGCCCAGTGATAGGACAAGAGGTGAGGGTGGCAGAGCCCTGGAACAGACTGCCCAGAGAGGTGGTGGAGTCTCTGTCTCTGGAGACATTCAAACCCACCTGGACATGTTCCTATGGGACCTGCTCTGGGTGGACTTGCTCTGGCAGGGGGTTGGATGGGATGATCTCCAGAGGTCCCTGCCAACACCTGCCTGTCGGGGATTCTGTGACTGCTCCTTTTTAGCAGTCTTGGCACATTTCAAGAGACTCCATGAGTCGTGCTGTGGATGTACTTATGTCCATGGGGGGCTGCTATGGCCACAGGGCTCCTTGCTTTCCTTGGGTGGCCAAGGGGTCCTGCTAGTTTGTACCTAGTCTGTACCACCCTGGATGGAGGCTGCAGGCGGGGGACCTCTGGGAGGGACAGCCGCAATGGGAAGCCTGATGGCCTGAACCTAAGGGACCTGTCTTGCTCCCTCTTGCTGAAGAGATCAAAGAGAAGCGCTTGGGAGGCTTTCACGACACAAACCACCACGACCATTAGCTCTGTGAGGCGACACACGTAACCGGGACTCCGTTTGTGTCTGTGGGAACAGCGAGGGCCGCAGCACACCGGTACCGGGACGCGGCTTTCGAGGCCTCCACCTTCGGCCCACGGGGTAGGCGCGGAGGCCCGTGGGAAGAGGTGCGGGGCCACGGGCGGCCTCACAGCGGCGGCTCCCGCCCCGCCCTGCCCCG